ACTGTTGTAGCTATCTCCTCCTGCTCAGGAAGCTTTAGTACAGGGCTGCCTATGTAGCAGTACCAGTTACTTACGGCCCTCTGCCCTACTTTGTAGTAAGAAAGGTTGCTGTCGTCCCCTTATCACCGTGCCAGGTTCATGCCAAAGACCCACCGCCACTGCACCCCCAATTTAGTGTGGGCGTGGTCTGATGGCTGCTTATATTCCTGATGACACACAACCATCCCGGAACTAGCCTGCACATTAGCCATGCTGTCTTTCTGTCCCATTTATTGGGAAGGATCCACGCCACACAAGTGGTGGGATTGCAGCCCAAGGGGCTTACAGGGAGAATGGCAGGAAGCCTCAGCATGAGTAGGATGGTGGCTGGAATCAATTTTTGGAATGGGAATTGCTCCGGTGTGGAATCAGCAGGCTATTCTGGAGCTGGGCCTGCAGCTGTCAGCCTTGGCCAACGCTAGTTTGAGGCTCTTAGATAATCAATTACAACACACCAGCAAAATGACAATCCAAAACTGAGCCGTGTTAGATTTGATATTATTAAAGGAGAAAGGTGTATGTGGAGTCCCGAACCTGTCAGCAGATGTGTCCACATCCCGAACGTGTCAATGCTCCCTTAGGATCAGATCAATAAAATTAAAAAAGTGGCAAAGGACTTGGGGGCAATCGTTGCTGTGCTGGGCATTAATTCATTGGGGAAAGTTTTTGATATGTTTTGTGTTTTCTTTGTCAGGATGGTTGGACTCAATGATCTTGAAGGTCTCTTCCAACCAGACGATTCTATGATTCTATGATGGCTAACCAGTCATCTCCAACCCCTGATAATGGCTGTAGTTTTGCTTGTTGTGGTCTGTATTGTTACAAGCTGTGTAAACGCGCAATGAGATCTGTGATAACCATGGGGCGCACTCCCTCAACATCTGCTCATGTAGTTAACACTCTCCTGAAGTCTGTCCATATAACTGACGTTCCCTTAGAATCTGTTCATGTAATTATGTTCCAGGAGGACCTTGAGCAACTGAGAAGTGATGGTTCACAGGGAGCATCAAGCTCACTGAGACTGCGCTCCCTTTTAACTTTGGAGGGAAGAGATGACTGTATCACCACTCCAAGTCGAATCATGACCGTGGTCACAGGGTGGACTGTGTGGCAGGTGCACCCACTCTGATAAAGACCAGGGCTTCAGGACTGCTGTGTCCTTGCTTTTCATGCCCTCACTTTCACATCTTTCCGGTGCGGTCATGTACACCCCTCGGGCGAGTGCTGACCATCACATACACACCTTGGTTGAGGAATGAGGAAGGTGGGGCCCTCAGCCAGCCAGAGCTGACACGACCATGTGTGACCACAGACCAGATCTGACCAGGGTACAAATGGAGCCCTGCCAGAGGGCGAATCGAGTCAGTCCTCCTCGGAGCAGCGGGTCTGCAGTCCAGGACTCTCCCCTTGGGACAGGATGCTGCCCAGGGAAAATCCTGCAAGTTGAGAGCCCTCATCTTATAGGTGAGTGAGTGGGCACATTCTGGATCCTCATTTCTAAAGCTTAAGAATTCCTAAGTCATTGTGTGGTATTAATTCCTCGTATGTCATCCTGGACCTGAGACTTACTCATGTGGTTGGAGTGTTGAATGATTTTGATAAGCCTCATTTCTAGTTGGTTCTCTGCTAAACAGCATTGGCTAGAATTAAGTTTACTCTAAGTTTACTACTGGTTTAATCTGATTTTGTAAGCCTCTGCGACAGAGCTGGCTCCTGGGAGTGCCTCCGTGTGCAGGTTTGGCTTTACCTGCTAATCTTTTATCTCAGCCTGGAGGTATCTTACTTTTACCCTTCTGATTCTCTTCCCCATGCCACTGCCAGACAATGCACAAGCTGTTTTATGGTACTTGGCTGCCTACAACTGTTAACCAACAAGAGATGATAACAATGATCAGAGTTCATGATATGGGGAGAGGGCCACATGCTCTTGGGATCACTCCATGCGTGACAGCTTCTTCAACACCCTGGGCTGTTCCTGGAGTCCAACGAGAAATGGCTCAGACATACAGGGAGAAGGGCCCAGCTATGGAAAGCATTTTCAGACTTCCCTCAAACCGGTTCTTGCCTCCACCATGGGACCTGAGGGTTAAAGGTACCCAGGTCCCAGAAGTGTCGTTGCCTCCAAAGAGCCAGGCAGGGGCTGCTGTCTCTCTGGCTGGCCTCGTCTCTGCAAGGCATGACAGATGTCAGACAAATCCAGCGGATAAAAAGAGGCCCCTGCTATAGCAAGGGCATGGCTTGATCCTCCCTCTCTTGGACTCACTCTTTGCCTGGCCAAGACAAGCTGGACCAGAACCAGTATTCTGAAAAATAAACTATGCTTCTGGAAGTCTCATTTCTGGAACCGTGAAGAGTTAAGACTTTGAAGCCACCTGTGAAAACGTGTTTTGTCTTTGGCTTCATTGGTGGAAGCAGAAGGCCTTTCTTGTGGCAGTATTTGAAAAGGAAGACTATCAGGTGACTGTCATGAGACCGAATGAACACTCTCCAATGCTCCCAGGTTGTACAGGAAAATTTCCTCTCTTTGTGGCCCCACCTATAAGGCATTCTCTCTCTCTATCTTTTTTTTTTTCCCTTCATTCTTGCCTAATATTTGAGAAGTCAGGCCCAGAAGCTGAACACACAGAAAGGTCGAGCCTTTAATTGAGTGGTGGGGAGGTGCATAGGAAGGAGAAGAGGGAAGAAACTAAAAGAAACTGTGTCGGCACCTTTCTGAAACAGAAAAAGTAATTGCCACTCTGCTGGTTCCCTTCTCAAAAGCAGACAGTTTTTTCCCAGAAGCATGGAAAAGGCAAGGAAACCTCAGTTTCAGGGTTTCTTGCTCAGGAAACACAAGTATTTCTCAGTGTCTCTCCCTGAACCTGAAACTTGATGGCTTTCTCTTTCCTTCCTTAGCCTAGGTGAGTGGACCTATCCATGTGAGGAGCGTGAACGGTGCTGGCATTACAGGCACATGGCCATTGGAGAGACTGTGGCTCATCAGCAAAGGGATGAAACGTTTTTCCTGGTGCTAAAAGCCACTTAAAAATACTCATTAAAGACTGTGGTAACCAGCCTTGGCCTTGATGTGCGTGAGTGGCAAGAACCAGGAAGGGAAGAGCTGCCAGCAACCCCCTCTGTTCTTTCCCAGTTACAGTCAAGAACAGTGTCATTCCACTGGGATAGTATTTAGTGGGGCGTGACAGTTGTGCCAGGCCAGGGGAGCCTCCCCCGGACTCCGTCTGGGACGCCGTTGGCTGGTGATGGTGCTTCCTCAGCAGCGCCCAGCAGAAGGTGCAGTGATGCAGTGGGGCAGCCATGTGTGGTTCTGGGGCTGCCCGGTGTGCCGGGTTTCTGTGGTGGGGTTTTAGTGGCACAGGAGGGGCTGCAGAGATGGCCCCTGTAAGAAGCTGTGTGTGAGAAGCTTCCCGGGCTCCAAAAAAGGTCAGACCGGCCTTTGGCCGGATCAGTTCCCCCCATCCCCTCGGGCCAGGGCTGAGTCAGCAGCACCTCTGCTAATGCCCTATTTCAGACAGGGACAAAGGAGCCCAAACTGGGGGCTGGACCTGCAGTGAAGAGAAGGGGGAGGCGGGGGCTGCCCTCCTGGACTCCCAGGCGGAGCTGAAGTCCCCCGGCAGCCCGTGGTGAGATGGCAGCAGCCCCACTGCCGCCCGTGGAGATTAATGGTGGAGCAGAGATCCACCCGCAGCCCGTGGAGAACCCCATGCTGGAGCAGAGATGCCTGTGCCTAAGGGAAGTCATAGATGGCCTTAGTAGGCAGGACTCCATGCTGCTGGAGACTGATGACGAGGCAGAAAGGCATCTGAATTCCATGGAGGACCCCACACTGGAGCAAGTGACTGTGCCTTAAGAAGCTGTGACTCTGAGGGAAAAGCCTGCACCAGAGCAATCTGACAGGTATAGATTGCATCCTGTGGGAAGGACTCATGTTGGAGAAGTCTGTGGACTGTCCTGTGAGGAGTGGATCCATTGGAGCAGGGGAAAACAGTGTAAGGAGTCCTCCTCCTTTAAGAAAGGAGCAGCAGAAACAATGTGTGAGGAACTGAACTGCAATGCCCCCCATTCCCTGTCCCGCTGTGCCACTGGGGGAGGAGGTAGAGCAGGAAAGAAGGGAGGGGTGGGGGGAAGGTTCTTTTGAGATCTGGCTTTGTTTCTTGTCATCCTCTCAAGTAACCGTTAACGAATTAAATTGATTTGTCCCCATGCTAAGCCCATTTTTCCCAGGGCCATAGTTGGTGGGTGATCCCTCCCTGTTCTTGTCTCGACCCTCAGGGCTTTTGTTAAATTTTTCTCCTCTCCACCTCACCAAGGGTGAGGAGTGAGTGAGTGGCTGCGTGATGGCTTAGCTGCCGGCTGGGATAAACCAGGACACCTGGTATCCAGCTCAGCTCTCCCCTGTGTGTCCCTTGCCTCCTGTGCCCTTGGAGAGCAGCCTGGACTGCAGAGGAGGGGGAGCCTGTTGTCCCCATGGGGCTGCGGGAGGTTTTGGGGTTTGTTTCCAAGGGGGTGAGGCACAGGACAGTGCCAGACTGTGTGGCCCATGCACCAGCTTGGGTTGGATGAGCCTCCCCAAACACTGGAGACTTTTCGAAGCAGGAAAGGGTAGTGCTGCTCGAGCGTGCACCTCTCCCGGGCAATGCACACACTTCCGGTCACATCCAGAGAGCCACGGGCAAAGTGTGGCTGTTGTGAGTGAGGTGATCGCACATACAGCTGCCACCATGGAAGTGGAGCTCCGAGCTTCCTGCACCCACTCCCACTAGGAATAGGACTCTTTGCTTCTGAGGTGGCCCAGGTAGCTTCTCCCGAGGCAGCTGAGCTGGAGCTGGGCAGCGCTGATATTGACTGGCCCGCCTTAGCCTGTCCCTCTCCTTGGAGTACTGACAGCCCAGCTTGGACTCCGTTTTATTCCCTACTGATACACTCCCACAGAGAAAAAGCAGCGGCGAGTAAAAAACTACTTGGATTCATTGACTTTTATCATTCTGCAAGCCTGGAGGTGCATTTATATCAGCAGTGATGTGAACCATGGGAACTGATGGTCAACATGAGAAGAGTTCTCACAAAAACTTATACGTCTTGTGTTTGCATGGCTGCGGGGGGCCACCTGTAATCGTCGATAACAAACGAATCGTAATCAGGACTGTAAACGAGCCGTTTCACAAAGGCCTCCTTGTCTGCCGGCTCGGGGTACCAAGAAGCAAGACCGTGCTTGTAGGCCCAGTCAACAATCTGCAAAAAGATAAGCAAAACGGGCTGATGAAATAAAGTTGGCACCTTATGAAGTTGGAACTAACTGCAGTTTGGCCCTGGCTATATTTTTTTCCTCCCTTTCCCCCCCTCAAAATTGTGTCTTTTTTTGGGCTTTTTTTTCTCTTTGGGCAATTCCCTGAGTGAGCTGCATGTCTCCCTTGGGTGAGGGAATGCAAGATGCTTGCAATTACTGGCTGCTTGGAAATGCACACCCCTGCCCTGGCAAACTGGTTGGGGTGTGCAATTAAAGGAGGAGAGCAGCCCTTTAACTACCTCTGCTCACACCCTTAAGCTCCTCATCACACCGTGCATCCGTCAGTAACAGCCAATGTGATTCTCAGTGGGTGTCCCCTGAACGGGAATTACTGATTTGATGTATACAGGGCACCAATCCCATAATTAGACAACAAGCCCAGATCTGCAAAACTATTTAGGTACTTAGGCCCCTATCAAATACAGGAGGAGAGGTTCCAAAATAGCAATTTGGAACCTAAAATCTTTTGGCAACTTGCGTCATGTTTGAGTTTGACCTTAAAACTGCTTTTTTGAAGTGCTGAGCACTCACAGCTCCAAGCAATAAAGGAGAGCTTTGTGAGCTATGAGGCACCCAGAATCAGAAGGTATTTTTCACACTTGGGCTTTAATGATGGGAGAAATCAAAGCAGCGATTCTGGCTGGAAGGATTCCTGAGAATCATTGCTTTAGGCTGTACAATGAGTTCAATTAAAAAAACACAAAGTAAAAATGATGCCAAGGTGATTCTTGCCCTCCCTGCCATGGAAAGTAGAAATAAAAGTGCAAATACTCACTTTCACAGCGATTTTGAGAGACACCTCTCTGATGCTGTCCAAGGGGGGATAGAGCCTTCCTTCTGCAAGGTTCTGCTCTGTCACCTCGGCAGCAATGGCCTAGAAAGAAGACAAAGGTAGTTTAAAAAAGATGGTCTCAAGCACGTACCACGTTCACTAGCATTACATGACATGTGGCTGAAAGCTCAGCAGCGCAGAGCTGGGACTGGTTCTTAAGGGGAACTGCTGAACTATTCAAAATACGTGTGTGTGCATGTTTCATTACAGTCTTAAAACTGGAGCCAGAATGATGGAAGTGCTATGCCAGGGCATCAGTTGTGGAGAATGAGGAGAACCCTGTCATAGCTCCTGCACCTTCATAGGTGCAACGGAAGCTTGAGTTTTCTGGGCAAGGCTATGGCTTTTTGCTGAGGCTGCGCCATTTCCACTCAATGTGTTGCCCCAGGCCAGGTTCTTGAGAACACCTGAAGTAGGCGCATGTGCCTCTTACAATCTTTTCGAAAGCTTTACTTAAACACCAGTTGGAAACCTCTGCTGTGATGAGAAAGACATCGTCAGAGATGTGCCGGACTCCGCAGGCGATGACTCCCAGTGCCACTCCTGGGAAGACATAGGCATTGTTTCCTTGGCCGGGGAAGAAGGTCTGTCCGTTGGGCAGGGTTACCTTTGAGAAAGGACTCCCACTTGCAAATATTCCCCTTCCCTGATGAGAAAAAGAGGCATCCAAATTCAGAAGAGACATCTTGCATTGCTGCGCTCAGGGGACTCTGGTGACCAAGCGGACAAATCTCCAGCCAGTCATTGGTAGGCACCTCCCCCAGAGCCATCTCCAGTTGATATTCCTGGAGTGCCTGGTCCCCAGAGCCACAAACAGGGCCGTGGACAGGGCCACCGAGCACTGAGTAGGTGTTTTCACCGCACAACTGCAAGTGCTCTGAACTCGCTGAGAAGGAGTCTTTCTTCCTCTCTATCAACCATTTATTGAGTGTGAAGAGGGACTCATGTGGGATAAAGGTTTGGGGGCTGTGTGATTGCCCTAGCCAAAGGGGAGAGTGAGACAAGGCCTTCTCTCTCATCCCAAGTCAATCCACATGACAATAATTCTTCAGTGACATTGAGCCCGAGTTGGGTGATGAAACTGTCACACAAACGACTACGGTGGCAAAACACAGGGGACAGTAACCTGGGAGGATGGGACACCTCAGCCAGCTGTGGGTGAAGGAGGCAAGTGCTTTTCACCGAGGATCACAAAGTAATTCAGGCTGGTAGGGACCCAAACTCCTGCTCATAGCAAGGTCAGCTACGAAATCAGACCAGGTTACTCAGGGCTTTATCCAGCCTGGTCTTGATGAGCCATCTGGGCCCCTGTTACACCCCCTGACTCTCCTCACAGCGTGCAAGTTTTTCTTTATGACCAGCTTGAACCTCTTTTCCTTCAACTTCTGCCCACCATCATTTGTCCACCCACCATGCACTGCCATGGTCTCCTTGGTACAGCCATGGCCACAGTGTCCCCGGAGCACCCAGCGTCCCCGCGCTGAGCTCCCGTACCTCGGTGAGGCGGTAGCACTGCTCCGCTGTGCACTCCGCTTTACTCGTGGGGTTGCTCAGGGCAAACACGATGGGCCTCTCATTGAAGGTCGCCATGTCCTTCAAAATCTTCTCAGTGAAAGCTCCTGCAACGGCTGCAACACCTAAAACAACGACAGCGGAGTGAGACGGTGCTTTCTGACTGTCTGACTTCAGGGCATTGGGCTGATCCCTCCTGAATGCCATGCCTTTAGCTGTAAATGAATGGCAGAAGGGAACAGGATCCATTTCTGGAGATGCAGGCGGGAATGTTTCTTTCTCATGCTATGGTGAGATTAAAAGCCTGTCTCAAAATAAAGCCCCCTGCTCCTCTGGGAAGAGTGGGGACCAGTGTTTAGGCCAGTCCAGTTGCGGCACTTCGACTCCCAAAGGTTCAGCCCTTCTCCTCCCAAACACCTGCCCGAGCTGCCTGTTGTCATCCTCGTCCTGCCAGGGCCATGTTTGCTGCTGACGAGGATAGGATGTGGAGAACTCAGCTGAGATTTTGTTTTGGGAGTAAAAAAAGCTTATTTCGTTTTGACAGGGAAAACACAAGGAGGCCCTGGAACAAAGACTGCAACTCTCCTGAGAACTGAATTGACGTGAAAAGCTCATGCTCAGGGAACTCCACCTATAATTGCCGTAGGCTTCACTTTCTGCACAACCTCTTCCAGCGTGTTCACACTGGGGTGGTCCTGGGCAAACATTTCCTTCTCATGGTTCAGGTGGCTCCTGCCCTGTGAGGAAAAAGAAGAAGTCAAACTTTGGGTTGTGGGCAAAGGTGAAGGCATAACATAACTCATCAGTTCATTTCATCTCTTGGCCCTCTACCTAAATCAGATTCCTCAAAGCAGGTGCTCAGCGTCAGCCAGTCAGGCATTGAGCTGCTGGTGTAATGTCGTGGTGGGGCTGGTCTCTGCTCCTCTCACTCTCCAAAACACATTGATTGTGTGGAGGAAGGATCTGGCTGCCAGGGCGGAGAAATTCTACACGTAGCACAAGTCTCCTCAAGTCCAAGCCCCAGCCCAGAGTGTTGCCTTTAGGGCAGCCAGTGCTGCTGGTACATTGCTGTCACCACGAGACCTAGTCCTCTGAAAGGAGGAACAGCTCTGCTGACACCAGTAAAACTGCATCCCTCACTCTAGGGCTGAGCAAGGGCCCAGGGAAACTGCCTGCTCTGGCCTCTCTCTGCCTTGCAAGAGGTGCTGGAGGAGTGGAGTTCAGCTCCGGAGACAAATTTACCTTCACAATCAGTCCCTTGGAGTCCACCATCCAAATTTTTTTGATGGCATCCTCTCGTGAAATTCCTTCCTTTTCCATGGCCATGAGGATGAGATGAGCTATGCCCATTGCAGCCTGGAACACATTACGTAAACACTTCATTGGGCTATCAACATCTTTCAGAGGGGAAGATTTTAAATGAGAGATGTGTTGGGTCATCCCCCAGCACTGCACAAAACTGGGAGGTTTTCTGCTCTGTGGCTGTACAGTGCCATGAGGCTGTACATGGCATGAGGCTGATTTTAGCATTGTTGGTGCTGCCAGTCCAGCAGACCAGGCTGCCCATGAGGCTGGAGTAGTGGAAGTGGTACCTTGACAGGCAGAGGCTGTAATAGAATGGTTTGGGTTGGAAGGGACCTCAAAGATCATCTAGTTCCAACCCCCCTGCCATGGACAGGGACACCTTCCACTAGACCAGGTTGCTCAAAGTGTCATCCAGCCTGGTCTTGAACACCTCCACGGATGGGGCAATCATCATTTAAACCCTGTCTTCTCATTTAAACCAGCTGCTGCAAAGGAGGGGCAGACACTGAACAAATACTGGTGCTGATGCCAGTACAGAGGAACTCAAAGCAAAGTGGGATTGCTGCATCTCAAGTACTGCCAAGAGGAAAGTCCTCTTCTCCTGTTCCTGCTTGAGGAAGCAGCCCTGGATGTGATGTGTGTGTTAGGGGTCCTACAGCTGGGCCCAGCCCTCCTGCCCAGATGGGGACTAACAAGGCAGGATGGTCTCCATGCCACAGCAGAGACATGTCTGTCAGGAGGGGTGGAGAAAGAGAAGCAGCAATCTTTGCTTCACAGAGGGATAGACAAACAGTGAGTTATGGATCTTGCCCAAAGTCCCACAGGTGAGTGAGAGCTGAGCCAGGACCTGGACCAATGCCTTTAGTCCACAGTCCAGGCTTTAGAAACTTTTTCTTCCCCCTCTGTCTTTGAGCAAGGCACCTTACAGACTACTTGACTTCTGCCATAGGGGCAATATGACTGACTCCAAAAAGTGAGGTTATGTACTTACGTTTCCTTTGAGTCTGAGTCCTTTTGACCCGATTGCAAACGAGGCTCTGGTTTACCCTAAATACCAGCCCTGATGTTCCTGCAGCTTCCTGCTTCATAAGAGACTTCCCTCAAGGCACTCCCTGACACATGGGCAGCCTTGTAGTATCCAGGAAGTCTGCCCAGGACTCACGGGCTAAGAGGTCACTGAAAGATTCTTGGCAACTTCTATGCAGCAGCAAGATCCACCTGTAGGGCCCATTCCTGCCCAGTGACAAGGAACCTGCTTCTGTGCTTTGTTTTCATGAAGCCAAGCCATTGGTTGACTTTTCTCTCTCTAAATTTGAATATAGATCATATTTAGGAACAAACTCAAGAACATTCCTACCTCTCCAGCTCCCTGGAAAACAAACTTATGGTCAGAGAGCTTGTTCTTTGTGATCCTTAAGGCTGCAAAGATTCCAGCGACTGCAACAGACGCAGTGCCTGAAAAGAGAGAAACACCACGAGATGGTCATCCTGGCAAATGGATCATTTACCCTACTGATGTGTTGTTAGAAACCTTGTGTTAGGAACCATTCTCTTAGATCCTGTCACTAAGGATCAGAGTGCCCTCCCTACTCTGAAATATTAATACTCAGAAGATCCCTGCAAGGCAGGAGGACACCAATTTCCCTCCATATAGACTCAAAGGGACACTGAGTCCCAGAATGCCAGAAGTTAAAATCCAGCTCTGAAGGGTTTAAGATGCGTGTGACTTGTCTAAGGTCACGTAAGACACTGTAGCAGAGTGGTGGTCTGAACTTGAGCACCCTTGTCACAAAATCCTCTGTGATCACGGAATTACCATCCTCTTCTCCTCATTCACCTTCACAGCCCAGTGCCACCTTCTCTTTTTTTCCTTCCCTGATACCCTGACTCAGAGCCATCATGCCTCACTGCCAAGCATTAAGGAGTCACTGAGAACACGAGCTGGTCCCAGATTAATGAAAAAGAATCCAGTATATGGAGAGCAGAATCCTGCTGTTACAGCCACTGCGGTATGTCCATCTTACCTTCCATCGAGGGAGGCAGATGCCTAGACTGCCTTCACCCTACATCAATCGCATATAGTATTCACCTGATGTCCTGTCCCAGGTGAAGGAACATGGTGGGAAGAAATCAAGTAAAGTACGGACTAATGATGATTCAGGCACCGATGGGATCTCAGGTCACCTGGGCAAGCTGGATACAAGGGTTAAAGGTGAGCTAGGATTGAAGGAGGCAGTTTTATAATAGAATATCTGAATTTGGAAGGGACCCATAAGGATCATCAATTCCATTAGTTTTATTCTGCAGCCTTTTAAAGGATGCCGTTTTGGATGTGTCCCCAGCTCTGATGCCATCCCCAGCTCTAATGCTGGTCTCTCCATTCTCATCTTCAGAAGCTTTGTGAGAAAACAGGGAGTCCACAAGTAACAAGCCTTGTGTGGGTGGTCATGGATGGAGTGGACCTGATAAACCTAATAAACCTGATTTCACCAAATTTCCAGCATCTCCTATTTACCTGTCCATTTAATCAGCCAGTGCATCAGGGTTTCAACCAGCCAGTGCTTCAGTGAGACCCCTTGCAGGGTCCTTAGGGCCTGGGCTGCTGCAGGGCATCAGCAAACATTCTGGTTGGGAAAGGAGAGCAGCTCATGAGCGAAGCGTGACCATGAGCAGCGAAACCAGCAGATGGTGCTGGCTCATCTGTCAAGGACCGAGAAGATAAATTCAGCTTTACCGGCTCCTTTTCTTTAGTGCAAAAGCCACAGCTAAACTAGAAATCATGGCATCAGGGAATGATTTTCTCTCTCATTTCCATGCAAGCAGAAAATCTGGTGGAGCACAGTTACTCTGGCAGAGAAGTAACTTTTATTGACATGGTTTATTTTGCTTAGGGAACCTATATAAGCTACTCTGACAAAGAAAATCTTTATTGGCCAGCCCAGAAGTGTTTATCAGCACCATTAGCTCACCAGCATTTTGCTTTTGTAACTCGGAGGAGTTTGGTTCTCCAAAAATGAGTAATTAGTGCCACTTAAGCGTGATTCCGGTTTAGCAGAAGTGGCAGTGGCCACAGTCCTGCAGCAAAGGTTAGTGCCGTGCACAGGGACGCCAGTACAGAATGGCAGCAGCAGCATTTCTTACTCATGAGGGCACCGCGAGCATCCGTGTCTTAAACACGAAATGGACTAGGCAAACAGTTGGTGGCTTCTTAAGCTTCTCTCTTGCAAAGAAGCACTTGAGATGCTCTCTTCAGCACCAAAGATGAATTCCCTTCATTAGCTCAGAAAACAGTTGGGATCTGTTTATTTCCAGGTCCAGACCATCTGAGTTCAGTCAGTTTAAAAGGAAGTTGATGGGGAGGGAACCAGCCACTGAGCGCTCTGCTGCTTCAGTATTAATGTGTCAGCTCAGCCAACTGAAGGATGGATATGAAGGATTTCCTCTTGCTTCTCCTGCACTAAATCTCTGCCTTTTTAAGCTATATTTAGATTAATTTGTTTATTAATGGCAAAAAGCCATGCCATCGGACTAGAAAAATTACCAAGGGACATAATGAATATCCAAGGAATTTAAGGGAACACCAGATAATTGCCTAGTTTTTAGATTTTTTGCTTTTTATGGCTGTCATATAGCTAGTCCACGCTCATTCTTTGTATTTCGGTAAGGCTACAATCAGCAGGACTGCTTGGCTTGCTGCCATGCCAGATGCTAAGGATGGGACTCCTCTGAACAAACATGTGTGATCCTGCTCATGCTAAAGCCTGACACCTGAACTGAATCAAATGAAACACACCCTAAAAGTGTAACTACCACCACAGTTTTTTAAGAGAGACAAGATAACTGGAATACTTGTAGACACTTCTATTGCAGACATCTAAACTGTGGAGAAAGGGATCCCACCCTGGCAGTGTGTACTGCAAAGAAGTGAGGAGAGACCAGGGTCCTACAGTTGTCAGCAATGCCAAGCTTGTGACATGCAGCAGAATATGAACATCTGTGCATATGCTCACGCATGCTCACACACCGTCTCCCAGACTTACTTTGCCTAGAAATCCCCAAATCCCTGTGCGGATGGGAGTGGGGAACTGATCAGAGGGAAAAAATCCTGAAGTGGAACAATTACAGTGTGACAGTGTGTCAGGTCACAGCGTTTGCAGCAATAGATGCCTGGGAAGTATTGAAAAGAAAGACACGTAACTGGAGAAATGTCTTGTTTCTCTTGGTCCTGACCCAGGCAAAATTACTTTATACCCTACGGTTGTCAAGAAGTCTGATGGGACGAATGCTGCTATCTGCAAACTCATTTAAATGCAAAATGCTGGTGGGACGTTCAGCAGAGGGACTCGAGGTCTTTTTAAAGATGTGACTAGTGGGAGTTGGAGAAGGGGGCGGTACGGAAAGAGAGGGTGCAGGGGTTCAGTCTGCAGAGCAGTGTGCATTTTGCAGAGTGGACACCTGTGGGACTGGGTGTGCCATTACTCATCTCCCCGCACTTGCACTGTAGCTCTGACTAACAGCAGGACTCTGTCGTTTCTAATCCTCTTCCTCTGTCTCCAATGCGTTTCTAATCCCTCCACGTCTCCCAAACTGCAGCTCAGCCCCATTACTCAAGTAACAAAGTTACCGTACCTTGGCCTCAGCTCAATATTTTTCTTTGATAATTACAATTTCTGAGCATGGAACAATAAAACATGTCTATGGAGGAGAGTTCACAGCTGGTTCGTATGAGGAATTGGCTAATCATTGTGCTTCAATTCCAAAAAGGCCACGAAATGAGATAGAGGGGGAACCCCCACCCCCTCACCGTGAGTTCTGGCAAGAAAAAGTCAACTACCCCTCAACACGTTGGTCTATCTGTTTTCCAAAGAGACTGAATGCTGCTGTTGCAGATAACTACTTCCTTAAGTAATTGGCAAAAGCCAGCTGGGCTGGTCTGTATCTGAGGTGAGATATGGAAGGGCACAGGGAGAAGAAAGGAAACTGCTCACAAATCATCCCGTCCATCCAAGACTCAAAATGAACGCTCAACCTAATATCACAAAATAGCAGCCAGACCTCAGGAGCCTCTCTGGGGAGTCCAGAGCACCAGGACCAGCGAAGAGAAGAGGCATTTAAAGCTAAGCTACACTCAGGCTGTCCCTTTAGGAATTAATCTCTGACACTCAGGCACATTCAGAATACAGTAAAACATGAAGGAAACCCCCTCTGAGCCTGATTTTCCGCTTACACTAGTGTAAGTCGGAATGAGCCCCGATAGATGTCAGTGGAGATACACTGGAGCAGAACCAAGGGAAAAGGATCTGCTCCACAGCTTCAGGACACTGCACGGATGGAAAAGGCTGCAACCCAGAGGCACTCATGCCCGGGGACCTCATCCTTCCTTCAGAGTGGGGAGAGTGGGCAGAAGGGCGAACGGCTTCACACACAGAGCTATGGGCAGCACTGGCACGAGTGTGACAGGGAAAGTGCTGCCCAGCGCTGATGTCAAGGCTGCTCCGTGTGTGACAGTAGCCAGTGGCTAAGCAGGGGACATGGGGGGAAGTGGGGACCCTGCGGATGCTCAGGGGCAGGAGTCTCCCATGCTGAGGTCTGGCACTGCCCTGTCACCCAGCCCAGGTGCCAGCTGAGCAGAGCACAGCGTCACCACCATCCCGAATCCTTCCAACGGCGGCAGTGATGGGAGCATACAGCCACACCGCTGCCCATTCCTTCGTTTCGCGCCCACGTGGGTGATTCTCCCTTCTCCTCAGCACTCTGGTGGAAGAGATGGCCAAGTTCAGCCTGATCTTTTATTTTTCACCCTTGTCTCGCTTGCTTAAGCTTCGCCCCATCAAAACCATGCCAAGATGAGGGCCCAGGGAATAGCAAACACCAGTTTAATGGCTCCAGCAAAAGGCAGCCAAGAAACTATATCTAAATTTAAGGATGCAGAGGAAGTAGAGGGCTTTTCCAAATCCTGGTTCACATTAACTCCCTGCAGCAGTTCCGCCTGTTACTGGAAAGCAGAGTGGAGCTTGTCCAGATCTACTCCAAATACATAATCAAAAGTCAGACACAACAAGGCTGAAGCAAAAAGCTGCCGAAGTGTTTGCAGCTCGAGGTCTTCATCTCCAGGGCTGTGGGTGAGTGTCAGCCTTCCTCCAAAGGGCCTCTGTGAGACATTAAGAAAATAAACCTAGAAATGGTGTGGAGCAAGTCCCTGAGAACAGCAGTAAAATGCAAAGCATCGATGCTCAGGGAAGGAACTCACTTTCTCCACTAACACATTTAGAGACACTGGTGACCCAGAAGAGGTGGTGGCACGGTGAAGAGCTGTCTGACAATGGAGATGTAGAGCTCCTCTCAAAGTAGATGCCCAATGCAGGTCATCCCTAGGTGCCTCTTTTTAATCCTTGCACTGTAAAGTGCTTGGACCATAGAGCGCAGTGTCTTAAAAATACGTGGCAGCATTGCCC